CCACCATCACCTAGTTCAAGGGGAATGGGTATTTCACCCAGACATCTTCAACTTGATTTGTCAGAAATAAGGGGCTTAGATGTGGACATCTTGGCCTCCACATTTAACAACAAAATGCTTGTGTTTGTGGCTAGAACCAAAGCCCCCCCCTATCGCTGGCATTGGGTGCCTTGATAATTCCCTAATCTCAATTCAGGGTAATCTTTGCCTTCCCCAACTCAAGTTCTACCTCATCTGCTCCACAAGATAGATCGAGAGAAGAAGGCAGTAATTCTCATTGCACCAAACTGACCTAGAAGAATCTGGTACACAGACATACTCCGACTACTAGGCGACGACCCCTGGCTTCTTCCCAACAGACCAGATCTGCTGTCTCTTGGTCCTCTATTCTATCCTACTTCTCAGTCTCTGTCTTTCGCTTTATTGGCATGGCTCTGTGGAAGCCCACATCCTAAGAGGCTATCATTCCTACCTTGTGGAAGAAAAGCCACTTCCAGAAAGATCTACTATCGTGCTTGGAAATCAGTGTGAACTGTAATCCCAGTGATTACTCTGTGCCTCACATTCTTGACCAGAACTTGACCTTAACTTCTCTGAAAGCATAGGTTTTGACCTTGTCCATTTTTGTTTTAAAACCTCGTTTCACTCTCCCTTTAATCAAGGCGTAACTTGCATCAAGCCCTGTGCTTTCTTAGGATCCCAACTTGGTTCTCTCTGCCTTGCAGAAACCACCATTTAATCAGGGATACCCTTAGACAACCTACCCTGCAAAGAAGCCTTTTTGGTCACCACTACAACTGTCAGATGTCTCTCAATTGGTTGCGTTGTCCTGTAAGGAGCTGTTCCTAATTTTTCACAATGAAAAGATAGTCTTACACCCATCATTTCTTCCTAAGGTGGTATCAGTTTTCCACTGCAAAGACATAGTCCCATTATCTTTATATCCTGCTCCAAAGCACCCAAAGGAAAATGTTCTTCTGTCGCAAAGCACCCTCACTGAGGAATTCTCTAGCCCCTAATGTAGTAAACCCTCCAAAACAACTATCCTTCGGTTTCAGTCATAAAGGTTTTTATCCGTGCAATAGATGTATGTTATGCGTGAACAATGGAGTTCAGAAGAAACCTGTGAGAACCTTCTACTCTAACTCCACAAGAAAATCATATGACATACAATCAGTCATTACATGCAATAGCACACACGTCGTACACCTTCTAGAATGCCCTTGTGGCAAACAATATATAGGAAGGACCACTAGAAGACTCAGAGACAGACTCAGAAAGCATTTGTACAATATTAAGAAAGGTTACAAAGAACATTCACTTTCTATGCACTTCCGAGAATCACATATTAGAAACCCTCATAGCCTGAAATTTACGGGTATAGATATTTTTAAAAAAACATTGGAGAGGGATTTTTAAACACAGAGCTGTGTCCATGTTAGAGACTAAGTGGATTTTCCAGCTGCGAACACTTTCACCTTACGGCTTAAACATTGATCTTGATATCAATTGTTTTATTGATACTAGTTAACCTCCTTTCTTGTTACTATTAGCTCTGTTAGGACATTGCTCTCTTGAATTTTTGTGAGATTTTTTATGTATAATTTTTGTATATTTTTAATGCGCAACATTTATATATGTTGCACACATTATTACTTGACACGTATTTTATATTCCAATACCATCAATTCTTTCATTATATCACTTTATAATTTTTTTTTCATTATATCATTTTATTATTTCATATTTTTATTTCAATTATTTTAGATTTGTTGAAATTTTATGTGAGACTGCAGATTAAGTTTTATCAATTTAATCGCATTTTCCACAATGTAGATCTAGGTCTCGTTGTAGATCATATACTATTTATTTATTTCAGGTACTTATATAGCACCGTCAGTTTACGCAGAGCTTTACATATATATATATATATTGTACATTCACATCAGTCCCTATATATACCATAGTTTGTAAACATAACTTTCATACAAGCCAATTAATATACATTCATTAGACTTTTTTCTTTTATATTGCAAAATATAAAAACCCTGTGGTGATCAAATACCAAAAAAAGTGAAAGCTCTATTTGTGTGGAAAAAAAACTGATAAAAATTTAATTTGCGTATAGTGTTGCAATTGCTGGTTAAAAGTAGCGCAATGATAAATGGCCTGATCAGGAAGGGATAAAACCTTCCGGAGCGCAAGTGGCTAAAATAAGTCTGTTGAACTGTACAACATATATTGAAATTAAAATAGACATGCATAATTGGCTAGCATGGAAGAGGTTGGCCAGTGGTTCAGTGTGTGTGTGTGTATATATATATATATATATATATATATACATAATATACACACACACACACACACATATACACATATACATACATACACACACAGTGTTTCCCTGAAAATTAGACAGTGCCTTGTATTTTTTTTTTTTTTTCAAGGTGTGGACAGGGGGTGCAGAGGTGAGCTGCAGGCAGTTGTGGATGAGGGTTACTATGGAGAGGGTCAGTTGATGACAGTTGTGAGCTGCAGTCAGGTGTTGCAGGGGTTACTTGACAGGTGAGTTTCAGACAGGGTGCAGATGTGAGCCACAGACAGATGGGGAATGCAGAGCTGAGCTGTGGCTGGGGGGTGCAAAGGTGGGTTGCAACTCATCTCACCTCTGCACCCCTTCACAGCCACAGCTCACCTATGCACCCTGTCTGCAACTCACCTTACTCAATTTACCTCTGCAACACCTTACTGCAGCTCACCTTTGCAGCCCCTGTCCACACCTTTACAAAAAAAAAAAAAAAAAATACAAGACACTGTCTAATTTTCCACCCCCCCCCCCCCCCCCTCCCCCTCCACTGCCCTCATATGGTTAGCTAGCTTTGCAAAACCCAGCTGTCAGCAGCCGGCCCCTCTCTATACTAACTCCTGTTTCTGGTCCTATCTTCCCACACAGTGCACCAAGCACACTTACCGCTCTGCCTCTTCCCCACTGACCGGCAATCCCCGCTGTGGCATCGGCTTCCATGCATTAGGCTGCAGAATGAGATGCCCCACCCCTAAACACACTGCACCCTCAGATATCCATTCCTTCCCTGTCCCACAGTGAGTACAGAGGTAGGGAGGTTCTGTGGGAGCAGATGGTGCTGTCACTTCAGCCGCGCTTCTGTGTTTATAACTGACAGTAGATATGGGTGTGCGCAAGGCCAGTGGCGGAATGGCGTTCCGGCTGAAAAAAAGCCCTGATCGCAACTAGGTCTTATTTTGGGGGTAGGTCTTGTACTTTAGCAATTCCCATAAATAGCACTAGGTCTTATTTTAGGGGAAACCGTATCTATCTACCTATCTCACACACGTGATTTTGTATTTCCAGGTAGAGGGCGCGCACTCCCTACCTGCGCTGCTATTGGCTCCTCGGCTTGTCTATCACTTGGCCGAGAATCGGTGATAGTCAGCGGAGCTGGCCAAGGAGAGGTCTGTATGTAAACAATACAGATCTCTCCCCTGTCAACATGAACAGGCTGCTTTGTATTGCTCTGCACAGCACACTATGTAAAAACACACAGCACACAGTTAACCCTTTGATTGCCCCAGATGTTAACCCCTTCCTGCCCAGTGTTATTAGTATAGTGTCAGTGCTTTTTAATAGCACTGATCACTGTATTCGTGTCACTGGGAATGTCAGTGGCAGTTCCCCCCAGTGTCAGAATGCCCACTGCAGCCCCGCTACAAGTCGCTGATTGCTGCTATTACTAGTATACAAAAATAAAAATTTAAATTCCAGTATGTGTGTGTATAATATATATATACATATACACACACACACACACACACACACACACATACACACACACACACACACACACATATATATATATAAATATACACACAAACACACACACACACACACACACACACACACACACATATATATATATATATATATATATATATATATATATATACACACACACACACACACACACACACCACCATTTTTAGACACTAACTTTCACGTCAACCAATTTACATATATTGAGGTTTTTTGTTTTTTTTTTTAGCAGAATACATTTTGGCCTAAATTTGTAATTTAAATTAGATTTTTTTCACATTTTTATTGGACATGTTTAATAGCAAAAAGTCAAAAAAGTATATATTTTCTTTTTTCAAAATTGTCAGTCTTTTTTGTTTATAGTGTAAAAAAAAAACCACAGCGAAAGCTCTATTTGTGGGGGAAAAAAAAGGACATAAATTTAATTCATGTACAATGTTGCATGACCACGCAATTGTCCATTAAAGTAACGCAGCACCGTATCTCAAAAAAATGGCCTGGACATGAAGGGGGTGTAAATCCTCTGGAGGGCAAGTGGTTAAATATAAAAAAATAGAAAAATGTAAAAAATTATAGCATACAGGAAACAATGACTCAAAAACAGTTGCAAACATTTATTAGAGAAACTGCACATGAAAATGGCTTACATGCATTAGGATCATTTAAATTTGGTAAAACAGTGGAAAGCACAATTTTTTTTTTTTTTTTTATATCCAGTGTAAAACACTTTTTAACTTCGTGCCAATGGAGGCAATTGCTAATGAGATGTAAAGCATAAAGAAATCTGTTCCCGTTAACAAATTTGAGGTTAAATGTAGAAATCCTGGGAATGTATCCATTATAAAAAAGGTTCCGCTACTGGCCAAAAAGATTTGCCCCAAAAATAGATGCTTGCAAATTTTTCAATGTATAAAATAAATTCCATTTTCACTATAGTTTTTAAATTGTAAACTTGGGTAAACTGCTTGCAGATCCAGCTGCTTCTTTATTTCAAAATACAAAAATGTGTTCATAGACAATCAAGTTAAGAGTCAGTGTTTTGCCATTGACTGGACATTAGGATTCCATAACACCAAGAATGGCACAGCTTGAGAACAATCCACACAGACAGTACGCTCTGCTTCTGCACTGTTGAGTTCACGATGTTAAGGCATGGAGTGAGTGCGTAATATCACCAGTCCATTAGTGACATAAAAGGAATCCACTGGTTCCTGGACCTACATTCAGCACAGTAATTGAAGACCTCCTCCAAACTTGAACATTTCCAGGGATTGTTGTGATGAATCTGTATGAAATAAAAGAGAAAAATATTGTAAGAAATCAGCAGTAACCAAGGAAATTAAAGAAAACTTGGTATCGGTGAAAAATTCTTAATCCAAAACCAAGGCCACACAATGATCAAAATTTGTCCAGTCCCTGCTGAAATGAAGTTTTGATCCATCTATGACCAACTCTAGCTGAAGACTTAGGCTGGTCAAACAGATTGAATTTCAGAGGATTCTTGCAGAATCAGCCAAAATCTCTTCTGTTGGTAGCCCTATCCACACCAACCTGGATCGACAAAAGTCAACTGCTGGACAGATAATTCTTGGCCAATCAGATGCCAGGACTGTTCAGGTATTCTGACAGCCATGGGTACTGGCTATCAGAATACAATAGCCATCACTATAGATTTGCCCATCCATGCAATTGAGGTAACTTTTAGTGTGTATGGCCTAACTTAACGTATGACTAAAGGCAAATCATTTAGTTTTGGATAAGAGTGGAGAGGAATTAGAACAATTGCCAGCTTCTTATTGCTGTCTGTGACCCGCTAGGTTGATTCACCCTCTCCATTTGTCCTGTTTACTGCCATCACCGAAAGTGAAAGGAAATCTCACATTTTAGGTTGTCAACAGAGCAGAAATAATTTTATATTATAGATACAATTTTCCACACAATAAAATCATACAATCTCCATAACAAATTTTTGGTCCCCTTCCCTCCCTCACCCCCCCCCCCCCCCCCCCCCCCATTTGGTCACCTCCTACTTTAAACCTCTTTTTTTCCTCTTCCACTATTTTATTCTTAACATTACTTCTCTCACTCCACACTCCTTCCCTACCTATCAAAGACTGGAAATATAGTCATTCCTTTCTTGTCTTGATCCTTCCTTTACACTCTAATCAATTCTAGATATCTCCTGGATGTTTATAGTTCTTCCATCCTGTATATAAACTCCACTCTAATTATCCAATTAAGGTTTCCTGAGCCTGCCAGAATTTAGGGATCAGTCCTTTTTGCTGCATTTATTAAGTGAAATATTATAGTGTTCTTGTTTCACCGTTAGATCAGTATTATGAAATAAGCAGACCCAGGTATCCTTCAGTACATTAATCCCTGTTATCGTTTGTATTTGTGGTTTTATTCCCTGCCAAAATTGCTGTGTGTTTGGGACAATCCCACCATATATATGTGCCATTGTTCCTTTCTTCCCACATCCCCTCCAACATAAGGGTGAATTTTCTAATTGTTGATTATGTGCCACACTGGGTGTCACATACCACCTTACTAATGCATTTCTACTGTATTCATATCCACCACACCATGTACCAATTGAAATTTTCTTTTTTTTTCTTGTTCATTTAATTTTGCTCCTAATTCATTTTCCCATTTTTCCAAAAATGGTGGAGACAGAATCAGATATACCAGTAAGAATCTTTTATATGTGAGAGGTAACAGGTTTTCACATTGTATCCGTACTAAAAAATTGTTCAAATGGATACATGTCTTCCACCGTCCTTAGTGGCTGTGGGAGTGCTGTAATAAAGTGTCTTAATTTGATAACGCCACTCATCTAACCTAAGAAAAATTTCCTTCCTATTTTTTTAAATCTATGGAAGTGCACAATTCCCAGTGATCTCTTTAAATGTGCATTTCTATTTTTTATCCAGTTGCCTGAAATATTCTCTTTCCCTAGAGGAAAGAGTTCTGTTCCCACCCATGGTATCAACAGTGAATTATACTCCCACTCCGTTTGTTGATTAATTCTATCCCGTATCCTAAAAACATTTTGTGTTAAAGTGCTAGTATTTTCAGACAAAATTCTAAACTGGTGGAAGCCATATAATCTTATCTATCTGTGACTCACGCCGTGTACTTTCCATCATTGCCCAGCTTTTCGTGCTATTAGTGAAACCAACACTGCACAATAATGTCTCCTAAAATCCAGCGCATTTAGACCCCCATTAATTCTATCTTTACACAATACCTTGTAGTTCACTCTTGGTCTTTTATTTTTCCATATATATTTAAGTATCATCTTTTTTTTTTATTGTCTCAAAGAATGGCCCGGTAAATATATTGGGAGCATATGAAATTTATACAGAACCTTTGGGACTATCACCATTTTTAACAAATTTATATGGCCAGTCCAAGAGAGTGATCCAGTGGATATTTTCCTCAAGTCATCCTTCAACTCATTTATTAATGGAATGTAATTTGTCTGATATATGTTCTTTAAAGAGGGAGTTACTTTTACACCCAAGTAACTCGACTCCTTTTCCTTCCATACAAAGGAAAAAGCTTTCTGCAATATCTGTTTATCTCATTAATATTTAATATCTGACTTCGAGGGGTTAATTTTCAGGTTTGATAATTCTCCATAGTATTTTAAAGTTTTCATTAAGTTGGGTAATGTTACTCTGGGATTTACTATATAAAACATGTCATCTGCATACGCCACTACCTTGTGTTCCATGTCCACTATCAAAATTCCCTTCACATCTATATTCCTTTACACAATCGTTAATAGTGGTTCCAGTGATATAACAAAGTAAGGGAGAAAGTGGGTGTCCCTGTCTAGTTCCATTGTACATTTTAAAGGGCTGTGACAATGAGCCATTAACCTTGATCACTGCTGATGGAGACCTATATAACGTTTTTAATCCATTGTACCATTATCAATAATATAAAATTAATAAAAATAAAAAACCAGAGCAGGAATAGAGGGGAAACCTTCCAATGAGGACACTATTTCTGGTGGCAACCAGGGATTCCCCTGGTTTCATCATACACTTAGTTTGACCTTCTAAAGTTTATGGTATACTTTAAAGATAGCAGACACTACATTTACAAAACAATCTGCATCTGTAGCAAGCTCTACAATGCAGGTTCATCTTTCTATGGTGTTTCCCAATAAGCACAGAGGGATATAAAAAAAACAATCATGAAGGTACTGCATTCGGACATACTTTAACATGTATTTGGCATAGTATTACCATTTTCCTTGCAGCTAATAAGGACAAAGTATTGATTTTTTGCTATTACACACTGGTAAAGTGTTTGATGCTTGTAATAAGGATAAAATCATGACCAATGGGCTTTCTGAACAGGAAGTCCATTGTGTGCAGAAAAATGCTCCTTACCCCCCACCTCCTCCCAAATGACAGCTTTACATCATGTTATCTCTACTTTGAATATGCCTATGAATCTTACCATTCATCATTAAGCTACTGATAGCTTTTTAATAGGTTGCGGTTCTCAAATATCTCTAAATATGTGACCTCACTGGCTCTGTTTTTTACTTTTCCTTTGCATTTCTACAACTATGTGACTTTCCTTTGCATTTCTACAACTATGACTCTTTTGCACAGCTACAAATGTGTGACTTTTTTGCAATTGCTACAAATATGTAACTTTTTTTGGCACAGCTACAAATTTAAATCTGTATTTTAACAGTCAGCTTGTGCTTTATGAAGGAGTCTTACCGAGATTAGAATACAGTGAAGGTCTAAAGGTTCTGAGCTTGGTCCAATCATTGGCTCAACGATTTCTGACAAGCGCTGCAAGCCAGACACTCGCAAAATGTTAATGTCATTGTCCCGGCAGAAGGCCTGTATCAGTGTGAAATGGATGTTTAAAGCGACGTCATTCACTTCTGGATCTGCGGCTAGAACACACAGTACCACACTGTCAGGGTCTCTATGGAAGAAAAGATAAAACACATATTTCAAAGACCATATCAAATCAGCATTTCAATCCTTTTTAAATGGTAACCATGTGAACAGGTACCCTGCTTAGTTGTTCTCAATTAAAATGTATGCTATAGCCCCAGGGTCAAGTTTTAAACAGGAAATCATGAGAAGAACCATAACCTTGTTTTAGAACCCAGATGCAGTATACTGGCAGAAAATTGTATCTTTGTACCACAGTATTTATTAGTATTTTTCTTGTTTTCCAGCACATCAATAGCTTGTCTTTTAGGCTCGGTTCACATCTGTATGGATGGTGCTATTGCAAAAATATCAGCAGCCGCAACAACCCACACAGAGAAATATGGGACCTGCGGGCGGGTGCCATTAATCCCACTGGAAATTGCAACTGTACTAGGTACCTCCATTCCCAAGTGGGATGCAATTTCAAAAATAGTGCAGGGACTTTTTTCCTGTATGTCCTGAGGCATGGCAGTCCATTCAGATGAATGGGCTCTTGTGCCCGCACAAGTCGCAGCCAGCACAGCTGTACAGGAGTGAACCTAGCCTTTGGATATGATTTAAGTGTCCATTCACACCAGAATGCGGTGCAGAAAACCCATATTCCATGTGTGTTTCCTGCACAATGTTCAAAGCGCACTGCAGTTGTGATCTGCAGCAGGTGTAAATTTTAACGACAACCATAATTGAAGAGTGTTTACCTGGACTACAGAATTACCCTGCGATTCAGCTGCAGTGTGAGTTTTTTTTCTATAAAGTAATGTATGCACTACTTTTTTTGTGCGGTCCAGTGCAATTCAGTCCTTTCAAAATAATGGGCTCAGATTGAACCGCAAGTGAATTGCAGAAGAATGTGACCTCCTTACTGAGAGATTCCTGGTGTGAACTGGTCCTTACATTTTTAAATGCAGTACATTTGAATAATGAAAAACACATCGAAATGCTAGACTTTTTTACCCATCTGTTCCACATAAACGCCAAAAAAACAGCTATCAAAAGATTGGAAAAGCAAATAACTGCTCAAGAAATGTCATAAATACAATCATGATCACCAGGACTGCTACAGAAAAAAAATGGAGGAACTTTTGGAGGTTTGACAAATACTGTCTGTAAAAAGAAAGCAACAAAAAAGATTGATGGCATAAATACAATCATGATCACCAGGACTGCTACAGAAAAAAAATGGAGGAACTTTTGGAGGTTTGACAAATACTTTCTGTAAAAAGAAAGAAACAAAAAAGATTGATAGCGAATACCAGCCTTTTTTTCATAACCTTTTAGACCTTGCTCTCACGGGCATACCCAAGTATACATCCATGTGAGGTCTGTGTTTAGCCACATGGGATGCACAGGTGAATAATTAATCAGAGCATGTTACTTTTAGCCTTTTCTCAATGGCCCATGTTTGTAGAGACTATCAAAGTGCCAATTAATTTTTGTGATAAGCTAGACTTCCTGGCATTACCATCTACCCTGTTATGGTACTGACTATTTCTGTGCAAAGGCTTTGACTTGTTACCTCCTATTATTTCCTGATTCTATGTTTGATATACACTCATTTTCGACACCTGCTCACCTGGATAAGTGAAATTATGTACTTCAGGTGACTAATACATTGACTATGTGGCCTCTCTGGAATGTGTAGCTGCCTTTATGATGTGCTGAGAACTCACAGTGCTAACTGACATGCTTTGACACCTGATTGTGTTTTGTTGATGTATGCACCACAAGACATATTTTTGTATATTGTGGAGTGCTACATTAATGTGTCCCAATCATTTTGATTCAGGGATGGTGCAAATCACATGCAGTTCTGTGCGGTGCGATTTTGCACCACACTAAAAGTAGTGCATACACTACATTTAGAAATACACTGCAACCAGATCGCAAGGTACTTCTATACCATGAGATCCAGTGTGGGAAATGCACTACTTTTTTGCAATCTGCGTTTGAGGTGTTAACTTAATATTGACACCAGCTGCAGATTGCACCTGGTGTTAGAACGCAGGTTTCCTGCATTGTTCTGGTGAGAACTGGCCCTCAATGCAGTTTGCTCCTACTCTATTTCCATTTGGCACCGCAACATAATACAGTGGAGTAAATAAACCATAAGTCACACTGCTGTGATTTAAAATTGTGTGATTTGTGTGTGATTTCTGAAGACTTTATTGCTACTTGTGAAAATGTTCAATGATTTAATTTTCATTCAATTTGCAGTGTGATTACTATTATATTCTATTAATAGGAAATTGCAACAAAACTGCAGAAAAAGTAATGCAAAAACTAATTTACAAATCACACTGCAACAAATCGCACATGACATTCATTAGATGCAATTTCAATTCCCAAATCGCACCGGTATGACCGGGCACGAATTGCTATTGAGGTTTAGTAACCAAAATGATTTGTTCTGAATGTGGTGTTGCCATTATTTTTCTATTCCCTGTATACTGCATGGTATCTTGATGTGAGGTATAAGCCCTGGTTCATACAGATGCGACTTGTCATGTAATTTGACTGTTTCAAATCGCATTAACAAGTCGCACCCTACTGTCTGCAATGGAACCATTCAAATCGGTGTGGCTCCGACTCTGCAGTGCCGCACGGATTTGAAAACAAGGATCCTGCTCTATTTTTTGCAATTTCAGGTGTGACTCGCATAGACATTTGTGCATGAAGTCGCACAGATGTTAGCCAAGTCACACCTGAAGTCACTGACATGCAGCTTTGAAATTATACATATTTAATTGCAGGTATACTCAAAATTGCCACATCCCTATTTTCAAATAGAGCAAACATTTTTTTTGCCTTTCATGGGATATATATCACAAGTTGAAAAATATGTTTGGCCTGACAACTCATGGGGCCCCCGGACAATAGGGGATCATGGAGCCCCTGTGTCCTTGCCCAAACTCAAAAAAGCCTATGAAAAAGGTACCAGGGGCATCTCATGGGGCCCCCTACTGACCCCAGGCCCTCGGGCAGTGCCCGAGTTTCCAAATGGTCAGTCCGCCCCTGGGCTAAACATATGTTTGACTTGTGATATATATGCCTTGAAAATACCATGAAAGGGGAAAAAAATAGTTTGTTCTATGCAGCTTTGAAATTCGTGCGAATTCAAGTCCGAATTCAGTGTGAACTGACAGTTAGGGTGGTCTTGATTGTAGCAATATACAACAGCCACTGAGCCACTTAGTGCTGGCAAGGGGTGACTCTATATAATGCAGGCCATACACGCATCTTTTTTTTTTTTAGCCAACCAATGTGTGATTCAATCAAAAACGCTAAATCTGCAAACAAATCGGACAATGATAACTTTTCTTCGGATCAATTTAGCTCGAATTAATTCAAACTGAGTCAATTCCCCAGGACAGAAGATTACCGATTGCTTTGCAGCACTGAGATACTTTTGGCATGAATGCAATCATAATTCAATCAAACAGATTGAGTTTACATGATGGAAACAGATATGATCAACGATTTATGATCATACGCTATGATAGCTTCTTAGTTATTAAAACTCTTCCACATATGTGGCATACTGATTGAATGGGTTGTGGAGTCTGGACTATCAATTATCTCTATCAGGAAAGATCAATAGAAAAATAAAGTGATCATTTATTGAAGTGTGTATGGCAACAATTAAGCTCAGCATACACTATACAACTTGACTGTACAATCTCCTTTACCATGTAATACTAGAGCAGGGGTGGACTGACCATTCGAGCACTTGGGCACTGCCCGAGGGCCCGGGGTCAGTAGGGGGCCCCATGAGATGCCCCTGGTACCTTTTTCATAGGCTTTTTTGAGCTTGGGCAAGGACATGGGCCCCATGATCCCCTATTGTCCTGGGGCCCCATGAGTTGTCAGTCCGCCCCAGTACTAGAGCCTGGCGGATTTGATGTAATTTAAATGGGTTTGTTCTCCCATTCCATTTTTGGTAAATCTAAAGGAGATTGCACAATCATATTGTATAGTGTATGAGCTGTAATTCACTTGAAGTGACCATGTATACATAACCTTTTCAATAGAGTCAAGACTACATCTGGTTTCATTACAAACTGCATTAGCATAGTGCACAATAACAATTGCCATGCAACCTACCTGTCCATAAACTTGGCAGATTCGTATACCCCAACAGTCAGAGAGCCCCGTCTATGGGCCACATCCAGGACCTGCTCCAGGGCAGAAGCGACAGGATGCATCCTGCAGAGACACAGACAGCAGATGACAACCTTTCCAGGTCCGATCATACATACACCATGTAATGACATGAGCACTGTCATACTACAATCGGACAACACGACCAATGCAGCCATATATTCATGCTGGCACTTACTCGTGGGTATGATTGTCACAGGTGTCAGCGTCCTCCAGTGTCATGGTCACCAAGCAATCTTCCAGTAAAGAAGGCTCCAGCCGGCTCTGTATAACCCGTCCTGCGATCTGACAGATGACACTCTCCTTCCAGCGATCACTGAGCTGCATTCCACACACTGCTCCTTATAAGGTATGCCGGCAGGTGGGCGGCGCTTCTGCTGACTTCCCGGCCGTGGATTGGAGGACACTCCTTCCCGGTGATGACAAGCCCAGCACGCTTATGGATTGCTCATGCTGGAGGAAAACAGTCTGCTCCAGTCAGCCGTCATCACACTGATCAGACTGATCCCAGTCTGTGTACTGACACTTACTGGAAATCTATATAAATAGGGTCTGTTAAAGCCCCAACCTTTTACCCCACAGGTAAAGAAAAAAAATTGTATATATACATAGTGGTTTACTTTATTAGGTCCACCTTGCTAGTACCAAGAAAATATCCCCCACACCATTACACCACCAGCCTGAACCGGAGATACAAGGCAGGATGGATCCATGCTTTCATGTTTACACCAAAATCTGACCCTGGCAGCTGAATCGGTCCGCCCATTCCCCTCTGACGTCATTTTTGTCCACTCAACTGCCACTCACTGGATATTTTCTCTTTTTTGGACCATTATCTGTAAACCCTAGAGATGATCGTGCGTGAAAATCCCAGTAGATCAGCAGTTTTTGAAATACTCAAACCAGCCCGTCTGCCACCAACAACAATGTCGTGTTCAAAATCATTTAAATCCCCTTTCTTCCCCCTTCTGATGCTTGGTTTGAACTTCAGAAAGTCATCTTCACCACGTCTAGATGCATTAATACATTGAGTTGCTGCCCGGTGATTAGCTGATTAGCAATGATCAGGTGTGATCAGGAAATTTGTCTTCCATTGGTGGCCAGTGGGAAGAATGCTCTTTCCATTGGTGGTCCAGTGAGAAATATTGCCCTTGTACTGATGGTCAATGGGAAGAATGGCTCTTATATTGATGGTCAGTGAGAAGAATGCTCCTTTACATTGATGGTTATTAGGAAAATATCCCTTCCATTGGTGGTCATTAGGGAAATGTCCCTACCATTAGTGGTCAGTGGGAAGAATGGTCCTTACATTAGTTGTCAGTGGGAAGAATGTCCTTACATTAGTGGTCAGTTGGACTAATGGCTCTTACATTGGTGGTCAGTGGGAAGAATGGCCCTTACATTGGTAGTCAGTGAGAAAATTCCCCTAACCTTGGGGATCAGAAGGAAGATGCTTCTCACATTAGAGGTCAGTAGGAAAATGCCCCTAACCTTTGTGATCAGAAGGAAGAATGCTTCTTACATTAGAGGTCAGTGGGAAAATGCCCTTAACCTTGGAGATCAGTATAAAGAATGCTCCTTACATTGGTGGTCAGTGGGAAAATGCCCTTAACCTTGGTGATCAGTATGAAGAATGCTCCTTACATTGGTGGTCAGTGGGAAAATGCCCTTAACCTTGGTGATCATTATGCAGAATGCTCCTTACATTGGTGGTCAGTGGGAAAATGCCCCTAACCTTGGTGATCAGTTTGGAGAATGCTCCTTACATTGGTGGTCAGTGGGGAAAATGCCCTTAACCTTGGTGATCAGTATGAAGAATGCTCCTTACATTAGTGGTCAGTGGGGAAAATGCCCCTAACCTTGGTGATCAGTATGAAGAATGCTCCTTACATTAGTGGTCAGTGGGAAAATGCTCCTAACCTTGGTGATCAGCATGAATAATGTTCCTTACATTGGTGGTCAGTGGGGAAAATGCCCTTAACCTTGGTGATCAGTATGCAGAATGCTCCTTACATTGGTGGTCAGTGGGAAAATGCCCCTAACCTTGGTGATCAGTATGAAGAATGCTCCTTACATTAGTGGTCAGTGGGAAAATGCCCCTAACCTTGGTGATCAGTATGAAGAATGCTCCTTACATTAGTGGTCAGTGGGAAAATGCTCCTAACCTTGGTGATCAGCATGAAGAATGCTCCTTACATTGGTGGTCAGTGGGGAAAATGCCCTTAACCTTGGTGATCAGTATGAAGAATGCTCCTTACATTAGTGGTCAGTGGGAAAATGCTCCTAACCTTGGTGATCAGCATGAAGAATGCTCCTTACATTGGTGGTTAATGAGAAGAATGCTCCTTATACTGGTAAACAGTGGGAAGAATGCTCAAAACAATAGTAGTCAGAATCCTAAGACCAGGGGCAGACTAACAACTCATGGGGCCCCTGGGCAATAGGGGATCATGGGGCCCCTGTGTCCTTGCCCAAACTCAAAAAAGCCTTAGAAAAAGGTCAGGGGCATCTCATGGGGCCCCCTACTGACCCCAGGCCCTCGGGCAGTGCCCGAGTTTCCAAATGGTCAGTCTACCCGTGGCTAAGACAGCTAAAAGAAAATGTTATCTTCTGGCCCTGGAATTATATGGGCACCATCAGTTGGGAGGTCAATCAGCCGCAGCTCAAGGAGTCCCTAGCAATATCTGAAAGAAGCCTGCTTGAGAATGACTTTTCTAGTAGTGGCTTGAATCATGTATTTATCACAATGACCATGTAAGTTACAGGTTACATTCTCACTGACATTGCCTAATAAAGGACCATAACAGAACCTAATTCAATTTAGTCTGGAGCATTACTCTGTACATGTTCTCAGGTACCTAATGGTAGGCAAAATAGAATGCATTCAGTGTTGGGAATTCTCGTAAGAAACCATAAATGAATTAAATAACAAGATGCACATGTTAATTTCAGGTTGTGATATAACATGGCTGTTTTTTTCTTATCGGGTGTATAAATATTTGCTAGGTATCCTTGCAGTGGTAAGACATGAGCTGTGATACCACACTATATCCTGGGTCCAAATCCCACAGGTCAAATACAGACTAGGTGGTCAATTGGCTTTCAATCAGCCTGGCTCAAAAGTTTATAGAGGTGCTAGTGTGGCTATGAGGTTATGGTTGGTTCATAAGACTGTAAACTCCACTGGGGGCACAGAGTGAAGACAATGGCTTTGTTGTCCAATGTGGTCATACAGCATAAGTACAAAAATAATAATGAGGTATCCAGCTATCCATCTGAAGTAACACTGTTTACTATAATTATTTTTGTGCAAATTGTGGTGTGTGTGTATGTATGTATGTATGTGTATATGTGTATACGTGTGTGTGTATATATGTGTGTGTATATATATATATATATATATATATATATATATATATATATATATATGTGTGTGTGTTAACTAGATACATCTGATAGCGGCAGCTGAGCATTGCCCTATGACTAACTATTGACTAAACAGCCTAAAATCTTTGTCTGCCATAGTCTTTGTCTATGTAAATCCTAACAATGAACTCCTCTTATTTTGCTTCCTTTTGTTCTATCAATTATATCATTGAAAGTGCTTTGTTTATAACTCTGATAAGTGCAAAAGTGGAAAGGTATGACTTGTTTGGTAAAAGACAACTGAGAGGGCTGACACCACTCCATTGACAAATCCACTACAGGATTTAGGAGCTGGGTGCCTTTTTATCACCTCAACAGTGATTTTTTTTTTTTCAAGATAAAGCATTGGGAAATGTGCATATCTTGCAGTAATGTAGTGCTTATTATTATTTTTTATATACAGGATTTATATAGCAACAACAGTTTGTGCAATGCTTTTCAAAATGGAGGGAGGCAGTACAGGTACAATACAAGTCAATTCAGGAGGAATCAGAGCGCCCTGCTCGTCAGAGCTTACAATCTCTAAAAGGAAGGTTCAAGTGATACAAAAGGTAATAACTGTGGGGGAGGAGCTGATGGAGGAGAAAATAAAATGTAAAAGTTCAGTTTATTAGTTGGAACCAGGGTAGGCCTTTCTGAAGAGATGAGTTTTTCAGGGATTGCTTAAAACTGGACATAGTAGGAGATAGTCATACAGATTTGGGTAAGGCGTTCCAGAGGATGGGATAAGCTCTGTCATGGAGGTGAGCATGGGAGGAGGTGACAAAGGAGCTAGAGAGAAGGAGGTCTTGGGAGGAGCAAAGAGAACAGTTTGGTTAATATTTGATACAATGTTGGTAATGTAGCTGAAGGCAAAGCTGTGGATGGCTTTGTAGGTTGTTTTTAGTATTTTGAATTTAATTTGTTGGGTGAGCAAAAGCCAATGAAGGGATTGGCAGAGAGGGGTGGCAGACACTGATAAAGTGGAGGATGAGTTTGGTGGCAATATTCATGATGGACTGAAAGGGAGGATAGCCTATGTAATGATAGGCTAAACGAAAAGGGGGTTGCAATACTCAAGGGCAAGAGATGACCAAGGAGTGCATTATTAGCTTTGTGGTGTCATTGGTTCAGAAGGGACTACTTTTGGAGATATTATGGAGGTTGAAGCAGCAAGATTTGGACACTGATTGGATATAGGACTGAAAAGTCTCCTTTTCAGTCCCATATCCAATCGGTGTCCAAATCTTGCTGTTCAGAGTCCAGGATTACACCTAGCTTTGCGTTGTCATTGGTTAATAAAGGGCATATTTTGGAGATGTTTTGGAAATTGAGGCAAAATTGTAACAGTGAATGGATATGGCTAAAAGTAGTTCAGAGTCCAGGGATACACCAAGCACCCTGGCATGTGGGGAGGGACCGATTAGTTGTGCCATTGATCTCAACTGAGAAGTCAGCAGAGGGGTTCGGGAAATATTATCAACTCAGTTTTGGATATACGGAGTTTGAGGAAGTGTTGTGACTTCCAGACTCATGTCTGTTAGTAAATTAGTGATGGGCAAGGAGACTGATGGGGGGGGGGGGGGGGAGCTGAGGGGTAGATATGGCTGTTGGCAGAATAGAAATGGTATTAGAAGCAGTGGGAGGCATATGTTTTTTTTTACTTTGCCCTGACATACACTGTGAGCTTGCATTTCTACATGGAACATGTTTTCTCAGTAGCCTATCTCCTGAAAAGTTTGAAGGTACCTAATCAAAAGATCAGAAGCCTTAACATTTTTTACAAATACTGTATGCTCTCTGCTTTGCTTGCTTCAGGAATCTAAAAACATACAGAAAGCTTTGCAAAACACAACTACTTATTATCTGCATACTAGACATTCTTTATGCAGAGAGTGAAATAGGTGTGATCTCTGTGTGATGCATGCTGATAATTAATATACAAAACAAACACTCACATTCTGATTACGTGCAGCTATTATTACACTGAATGTCACATTGACCACATTCAATTTCATAATACAAAAGAAGTGCAGGTAACCACACAAATTTCATATCACACAGAGTAGTGCATGGTAGCCAATTAGCTTCTAAAATCGGCCATAGACGGGTCAAATTCTGAAATAATTTTCTTTAGAAAATCTTTTTAAGAATTTTTATTCAAATTCCGCACCATTAGTGGGCCACAGCAATGGACGATTATTGAGTGACCACTGAATTAGAGTGATCAGACATGTTGGAAAAATAACTAATTCTAATACTAGTTCTAATCAACGATTGGAGAATCACACAAGAAATATAATCAAAAAACAAATGAGCATGAGCTGTGACCTAGAAAGAAAATTCTTGGCCACGAAATTTGTTTTTCTGCGGCAACATGAGGGGAAATTAAAGGCTTGGTTGATCGAATTTTTAAATCAGTGGTGGCACCGTCGGATTACATAATGCACAAAATTTCCGATTTTCTAAAGAAAATTAGTTTGGAATTCAACCCATGTATGGCCTGCAGTTTGTATTGGTGTCACTGGGGATGTCAGCTTGTTTAATTAAGCTTTGACAATAAAACCTGAAAGCTTTGGACAGAGTGGAAAGTGATTAGAACACCTGTCAGGTGTTTATTGCTGTCTGTGTCCCTGTTACAGATTCCCCCTTTCTATTTGTCCTGTTTACTGCTATCGCCAAGAATGAAAATAAAAAAAGATTTCCACCAGAACAGAAATAGAGGGGAAATATTTCTATGGGGACAAACAGGGATTGCCTCACTTCAGAGGGATTTCTTCTCACTTCCTGTTATGGCTATGGGACAGGAAGTGAAGGAAAATCTCCCCAGTGGAAGACAGATCGCAAAAAAATCTGACAGGGATTTTAACCCTCCTATCCCTATATAATGAACAAAAAAGTTTTGCCCTTTTACTTTAAAGGAGGAAAAGTTTGAATAACCAAAACATTAAAATGGTAGTAAAGTCTATTTTTTTTTTACCTGTACCTACAGGTAAGCCTATAATAAGGCTTACCTGTAGCTACTGTAAATATCTCCTAAATGTGCACCGGTTAGGAGATATTTACTTGTGTGGAGCACCGGAATATGCACGCTGAAGGAATGGCATGCCTGTGCCGTTCCTTCACAGCTGTGTGCCGTAAAAGTGACTCCCGCTCGCATGCGCAGGAGTGACGTCAACGCGGTTTGGCCATTCAAGCTGCTGGAGTCTGTAAACCTGGAAGAAGGACCGGGTGAACATGGAAGCCTTGTCAGTTATGACAGGGAGCCGCTGGAGGGCTTTGTTATAAGGTAAGTTTCACATTATGACATGGGGAAAAGTTTTTTTCCACATTCCCCACATTATGGGGATGTTTAAAAAAAAAAAAAATAATAACCAGGTTTACTACTGCTTCAACCGCTTCCGCGCCAACTTATAGCAGAAATACTGCTATAGGGTGGCA